CCAGGGCAAGCAGGAGTTGGCAAAAAAGAAGATGTCGGAAGTAATTGAATCGAAAGATTTATTAAGAATATTAGAAGGTTCTGGACTGTGCACATTTTATCCTAATTGTATGAAGTTACTCTCTTTTAGCTCCATTATTCCTTCCTCAACTGCCAGTGTTGAGAGACTGTTTTCGCAAATGAATTTAATTTGCACTGATTTGCGCTCACGAATGACGCAGCAATCTTTAGACATGCATTTGAGAATAATTCTCAATGAACTTGACACTCTTTCTGAAATAGAATGCTTAGAAATTGTATCCAAATTTAAAAATGCTGGTGATCGCCGATTATGCCTGTAAGGGTTGTAACAATTTCTGCTTGTTTAATACATATTGTACGATTTAAAACACCAAACTATTTAAACACAGTTTTTTTTTTTTTCAAATTTTATTCTGAATTTATTCTATTTAACTTTTATTTTTTTATGAATAAAAAGAATTGGTTTATTGAGTACGAAATTTATCTTAGAAAAAAAAATAAACAAAACTGAAACGCATTGAAATTAGAAAAACAGAACAAAATTTAAAAAAAGAAAACTGCTGTCTGCTTCATTAACTAATCGTCTGCTTTTATTAACAAATAATTATATGCTAAAATTAATAAACAATCTTCTCCTTTTATTTTATTTTTTATAAAAAGACTATATTTTACGAAAGCAGATGCGATTCCACATCAAGAAAAACTTGTATGATATCGCATTTCTAAAAAATGGGAATTTATTCAACAAAAAAAAATATTGTTTTGTTAAGCGATGTCAAATAGATGAATATAAAAACTAAGTAACTGAAGTGGATTTAAAATAAATCTCACATTTAAAATAAATGCTCTTAGCCAGAAGTTTCAAGTTCCTTAACTCAGATATTCATTGATATGCATGTGCAATGTATTTCCCCCACCCCCTCGCAAATCAAAGAGAGAACGAAATCAGCTTGCCACTCCTTTAAGTTTGATTGACGGCAGCTTATCTGAAAAACAACATTTGTCCCTTCCCTACCCCTCTCGATCTAATGATCTTCAAGGCCAGGGGAAGAATTGAAGTTCCTCTGGGCAAGTGAGAAGAATTCCCCCCTTTCCCTCTACTCAACTTTAAAAGGATGAGTCAAATTTTTGCTTTTTATTTTTATAATCGTTAATTTTAAAATAGCAGGAAAACCAAGCAAAATTCTTCCCGGTTTTCTTGATACCGGATAAATGGTTCTCTACTGTATAAATAACTAAGGCACTTTAATTTTTTTTTACTTTTAATTATATTTATAAAATTATTACATGGTACAATTGTTTTTTTTTTTATGAGTTAAGCAGTGGTAATTGATTGCATGCTATAAATTTATGTTTGAATATATATTTTTCTTTTTTTCATTACTAAAAACTTTTGTCTTTGTTTTTACTTATAAATATTTAATTTTACAACTATACTCAGTATTAACCTAGTACAATGTCAAAACTTGTTTGAGTATGTTAATATTAAAAATCTGTTCCTTTATTTATGTATACTGTTATCTCAATGTGCTAAGTGTGCTGAGTACTTGGTAAAATACTAATTAAAATGATATTGTGTACATGTTGTGCTGATTTTTTAATTTTCACAAATTATTTCTAAATTTTCACAAATTATTTCTAAATTTTCACAAAATAGGTACCTAGTAAAAAAACCTAGACAGACCCCTGAGCACAATGGGTCACTGGCAACGTTCTGGGAAACATCCCTGAGGATAATCCCAAGGTATGCCATTCCAGTTATGATCCACAACAGAGGAGACAGATCTCCCGCTTTGGTTTCCTGGCTACCTGCAGGCGAAGTCGATGTATTTTATGTTAGAACAGTTTAACAAGGACCGATACCACGCACCCTTGGTCCCATCGCGTGCTGATCAAAATGCACCCACCGTGTCATTGACAGCTTGATTTGGCGATCCATTGGAAACCGTATCTTACGACCACTGTGGGACTATAATATTAGATTACAAATTCTAATATTTTGAGTGATAAATACCAAAGTGAAATATACAAAATGTTTTATGAACGTCAATTTCGCATTGGTTACAGTCAGTTTATTTGGTTATTTCATAACTAAATTCCCTATATAAAAATATTGCTTGATCTAGAACTGACTGCACTGAATTTTTATACTAACTAACAAGGATCGTATCCGAAGTGTTACGCGCATATTTTTTGAGATTCTTAGATTCCACAATCATATTTTAATTTGTAGGCTCTGACATTTATATTTCAGGTTCTGAAATCACAAATAACGTAAATGTTAAGGAAAGTTTAAATTTGAATTATCATGCATGCATTATTAATTTATTAGTATACGTTTTAACATCTGAAGGGCAATAATATACTATTGTTTCCTTCAGTTTAATCCATTTTTAATTGTTTTATCTTTAAATGGAAACTTTATGAATTGTAAATTGTTTTGTTTAAAAAAACAAAACAAATGAAATGTTGCTTTAATGAGTTGTAATTTTGCTGATATTTAAAAAAAAATTAAAAACAGAGGCTGGTAGCATAGCATAGAGGTAGGCTCCGAAAAAAATCGTTAAAAATCATTCGAAAATAATTTCTTTTACTCGGTATACCCCACTGAGACGAGAATCGAAATTCATGGTCAAAAATGGTAAAAAGGAAGTATTTTCAAGTGATACTTTTGACATTTTTTAAAAATTATTATTATAGTAAAATGTACAAGGAATATGATAGTTAACTTCGTCGAATTTCATGGTCAAAAATGGTAAAAAGGAAGTATTTTCAAGTAATACTTTTGAAATTTTTTTAAAATTATTATTATAGTAAAATGTACAAGGAATATGATAGTTAACTTCGTCGAATTTCATGGTCAAAAATGGGAAAAAGGAAGTATTTTCAAGAAATACTTTTGACATTTTTTTAAAATTATTATTATAGTAAAATATACAAGGAATATGATAGTTAACTTTGTTTTATTTTTAAATAAATAAAAAGTGAAATAAAATTCAGATAAAGTTAGCCTAAAAAATATTGAAAAATTGAGCTATGTTTTTCTGAACACAATAACTGTTAACAATGATTATTTATTTGGAAATTAAATATAAATTTTACATTAATAACGTTTTGGTATATAAACGAAAAAGTTTACATTGTCGCTTTGGTGAATGTCCGGAGTATTTGTTATATCCGATTTGATATTAGTTCATTTGTTGATATTATTATATTTATTCGATATTTTAATATCTGCTGAGAATAGATTGGAAGAAACATCAGTATTTTGGAGTTCCTGTTAAATGCGTACCGGATGGTGGCACTTGTCCTTAAAAAACATCAGTGTAGGGTATACCAGGCAGTGGCACTGAACCTTAAAAAACATGAGTGTAGGGCAGGGGTGTCAAACTCGTGGCCCGCGGGCCGCATGCGGCCCGAGATGAACATTTTTGGGGCTTAGTCAATATATCCGAAGCAAAGTGAAAATAAAATAGAAATGTGAATTAGAAACGAAACCAGCATATAAAATTATAATATACTTTATCTATATACTATATGGATCATTTTAAATCGTACGCACGAAAATGTGAAATTCTAATTGGCTGAAATGGTGTCCGTTTCACACTAAGCTATCAATTAGATAATGCATATTCAGGTTTATCCTACTATAACGAGTTGCGTTGGTTATCTTGCTCCATGGTTCTGAAGCAATTCTGGGATTTGAAAGAAGAAATATGTAAGTTTTTACAATCAAGATACAAGCTTGTTCTAAGATCAAATATGGTTGCAAGATTTATCTTTTATGACTGATATAACCAAACACTTATCCGATTTAAATTTATTGTTACAAGGCAATGATCAGATCATTACAAACGTGTTTGACATAATTAAAGCATTCAAATGTAAATTATTTCTTTGGGAAAGGCAACTGAAAAATGAAGATTTAACGCACTTCCCAATGTGCAGCAAGAACAAATCTTGTTTAGATGATACTGCATCATATCAAAAATATGCAGAAAAAAATTTCAAATCTTAGAACAGAATTTGAAACAAGGCTTAAAGATTTTTAATTCTTTGGAAGACAAATTTTGTTTGTTTTCTTCGATTTTCTCAATAAATGTTGACTTAGTACCCAGTTACATGCAAATGGGAGTGTTTGAGATTCAGTGCGACTCAAATTTGAAGGCAAAAGTCATTGAAGTGGGTGTGCCTGAATTTTGCGAATATTTACCGGCAAGGTTTGAAAATACTCGAAAATTCGCATGTGAAATTATTTCCATGTTTGGAAGTACTTATCAGTGAGAGCAATTATTTTCTGTTATGAATGGAAATAAATCTCCTGTCCGAAACCGTATTAATTACGCTCACGTTGGGTCAATTTTGAAAGTAGTCTCGGCCAATAAAATTTCTCCCGAAATAAAAAAATATAGTAGCAGAGAAGAGATGTCAAGTATCAGGACGTAAACAATAATTTATCTTTATATATGTCTATTACAATTCAAAATAAAAATATTTGTTTTCTATGAACATAGATTTTTCTTTCTTTTTTTTACGGCCCGCCTAAAGTTAAGCATTGTTTATTTGGCCCAAGTTAGCTTTTGAGTTTGACACCCCTGGTGTAGGGCATACCGGACAAATGTATTCCGGGCAGTGTCACTTCACTAGACCTAGTATAGATTTCGGACATTTGCCGAAGCGATTGTCAACAGCCACCAATTTCGGCCATTCTCAGTAACATATACAGAAGACTGCAATTGCGAAATCCTCTGTAATAGTATTGGTATAAAGTTATTTTAAGTGTCACAAAGTGTCAAAGATATACACAAAAAAATCTGGCATTTTATTCAGGGTGGAAACATGAGCGGCCGTCAAATGAGTGCAGCGTCAAGCTATCATGGGCTATTCAGCGTATTTGCCCATCAAACGACGACTCATGGCATTCGAAAAATCGTGACCAGCCGCCATCCGATTCACAAAATGTTCTGGGTCATAGTGTTCATGACTTCTCTTGGGGGTTGCTGCTACCACTGCAGCTACTTGATTTCCACTTACTGTGAAAATCCCAAAGTGACAATTACAGAGGAGAGAGACGCTGACATCGTTGAATTTCCAGCACTTACCATATGTAACCTCAACGTCATTAAGAAGGTAAGGTTACAGTTTTTCATTTAAAACATTGTTGAACTTATTTTAGTTCCTAGAGACGTTACTAGATAATTAAACTTATTTTTGGTAGGAACACGTGTTTAGCATACAAGTAGACCAACCTACGGGATATTCTAAATTAGACAAACGATTTTTAAAAATTTATAACAAGAAAATGACTAAGTTTAAAAAATAAAAAATGTGGGAAGAGTAGTTATAGACAATGTCATCATTCATTTATGAAAAGGTACTCCACCATAGAATCGAGTTAACATTTCTTATATATTTCTAGTGAATTGGAATTGTATTTTTTTGTAATTATAGATACACTATAGCACTCTCCTACCAGGATTATATCTGTGATAGAATTCGATGAACGGATACCACTAGTTGATTCATTGCTGTTTTATGAGAAGCCGAGAGAGCTGCATTAAGATCACCGTTTTTTGATGATCACGAGAGCTGTATTAAGTTCTAGATCGAGGTTGCTCTTGTGTTGCCATTAACAGTTGAGTGTATGCAGGCCGACGTTGTGTGTGATCGAGACTGAGTAGCAACAGCTAGAGGAGGTGGATAATGTTACAGTTACAAATAGAACGTCAACTTTTCAACGTGGACCACCCATCAAAGTAGGCATATTCAAATCAAAATGGGGATTTCTGTTAAAGTAGGTGTGTTAACATCACCAATGTGGGGAGAGAAGTTATAGACAATGTTAACCTTCATCTATGAAAAGGCTTCCCATCGTAGGATCATGTTTACATGTTTTATACACTAGTAAATTCGAATTGTATTTTTTTGTAGTGGTAGACACACTACAATAAAAATAATTGAAAAAAAAATTCTTGCAGCAAATTTATGTGTTAAAGCATTTTCCTTGCGATATTCTTGTTTTTTTCCGACTGATGCAAATAGTATACCTGTAAATAAGAGGAATACGATTGAAAATCAATTCACAATTTTTCGAAATCTTTCAATGCTTGAAAGCCCTTTTGCTAGATTTTCTAAATGTCCGCCATCAGCCCTAATCACAAGATGTAATTGGAGCACGAGACTTAAAAACGGGTACCTCTGAAAAATTGGAGGAAAAAAAATAACGTTAATCGAAACTATTTCTAAATTCTATTGATATTTATGTTATATGCACTAAACATTCACTATTTATGCAATATATTTCTATATTTAAATAAAATTAACACTATGGTAATAATGTTTGTCAATCAGGTTATCTTGAGCAATAAATTTATGGGAAAAACTATTGACGTTACGTACGTTTTATAATTCGGATAATCCAAATAAAATAAATCATTTTGATACAAATATATCTCTTAAAAACAGAAGTAAGCATTCATAAAATTACACTTTTGCACTTATTTTCAGCTTGGATCAATTAGTACTCTACGTGATAAAACTAAAATGTTGAGGGAAAAAAAATCTTAGCTAAGACTTAAAATTTGAAGTAAAATTTTATCATGGAAAGGAAAATTTTAATTGAGATTTAAGTATTTCTGATTCAGGATGATTCTTATGCAGCTGCAGTAACCAATTCTGACTTTAGACTGGGCACGACTTTTTTCATGCCCATTCACTAACTCCTTGGCCCTACAAGCCATGAAGAATTTCGGCCTCTCTCACAAAAAATCTCTAAACTTTTCGATCCTTAATTTTCCTCCTATAATTTGTGGTTTTACATGAGTTCAAGAGCTCCTCCAACTTCATTTAGCTATAAGTTTTTCAGTATTCTTACACTTGTCCATCCTGCTACACAATCTGGGCAAAATTATCCAGACACCCTGTTGTGTGATGGTGGAAGCATCATGGTGTGGGGATGTTTCTCATAATTTTACCTGGGTCCATTAGTTCCTGTGGTCGGAAACATGAACTCTGATATGCATGTGGATATTCTGAACAATGCTGCACTCCCACCTCTATGGCAATATTTCTGTGAAGGCCCTATTTCTATTCCAGCAAGATAACTAATCCATTCACTCATCGAGGCTTGCACAGACCTGGTTTGACGAAATGGGTGCTCAAAACCCGGACTGGCCTTTTCAGTGCCCTGATGTAAATCCCATAGAACACCTTTGGGACGAATTAGAGCTCAGATTACGTAGCCAGTCAAATCGACCATCCTCACTGCAAGCACTCACTTCAGCTGTAATGTAAGTCGATTCCTACGGCCACCTAATAGAAAAAAATAATATTTTTTAAAATCATATTTGTCTACTTTTTTTTAATATAAAAATATTTTTACGTAATAAAACCCCATTTAATCCAATATATGCGGTAAACCATTGAGTATAACAGCATTCGAACATACTCTAGCAGATTATCAGTGTTATTGATGGCATCTTTTATGGTTTGTTGTACTTAATTCTAGCTGTACCTATTACTAGGAATATGCAAACTCCTACTTCGAACTGGCTTCCACTAAAAGAAGAAGGAAAGGGAATTCCTCTAATCCTGTTCCACTGAATGTCAACTCCACTGTGTGCTTCTATTCTGAGGAAGAGCTATTAAGAGATAGTGCCATAGACCTTAGTGATGCCTGGCTCAATCTGGGAGTGACTAAGGACAATCTATCTAAATATGGTCACAAGGCACAAGATCTGATCGTCCAGTGTACGTACAACAGCAAAGAGTGTGGAAATGGGTATGTTAACTTATAATTGAAAAGCTTGGGACAATATAATGATAAGTCACATCTTATAATTGCTCAGGTGTACTTTTTAAAATCAAAAACAGTATGATTTACAAGTAAGCAATAAGATTTTTGTGTGAATTTCGCTGCAATATCTTTTTGAGACCTAAACTTTTAATAATGGCGAAAATTGCGTTTTTTACTTATAAATATGTAGCTTTGAAGAAAAGTAAACTCATTTCATGTATGCAATAAACATTTCAATAAAATATCAATTAACTGAACTTCATTAAAAATATCTGAAAAAAGTTAACTACACTGAAACTTGCATTGCTTAAGTGGTCCACTTGAGTTAGTCATTGCTTTTTTTAATATCGTGTTATTTTTACATAGATATAAAAAATTGTGATCGCTTTATTACGATTATCAAATAGCAGCGGTCGCCATAGCAACGCATGCTCACTGTTATCCATTACTCTTGAACACAGTTGAAAAGTATGAGGGCGTTCAAATAAGGTGCGCACGCCATCAAACTCGAAACAACACCCATTTTGCCAATGGGTAATAAAAAAACTATGTATATGTGAAGTTAATAGTTTTCCAATACGACCAACTGACAAACGGGGTAATTTTGGTTGGATATATGTTGATAAATTCTTATACTAATAAAATTTATAATCTTGGAATGTTTAGGTTAGCCCTTAATGCCATTTATTGGTTAGCCCTTAATGCCATTGGTAGATATTTAAAAGTGACTTAAGAATCTTAAAATAGCAGTGTAGTAACACTTAAAGATAACACGTTGTATGAAGTGTCTGTAGCGTTTATAATTGGTGTGCTTATATTTTTTACAGATCTACTTTTGGAATAAGCGTAACGAATGTAACATCACCAACCTTTGGATTATGTCATACAGTTAATGTGCGGAATAAGACGAAGGACCGACCAGCAAGTGTTCGAAAGGGAGGAACCATATATGGTAAAAAAAAAGACATTTGTTTCAAATACTTTATAGTTATGGTAAATACAAATACTAAAAACATTTAATTTACTTTGAAACTAGAATTTGTCACTTATGAAATTTTTATAATCTCGAGTGCAAATTCGTAGCAACCAGCCATCGCTGGGATTCGAGTGTTCTATCTCCTGAGTCACCATATGGCTCACTTAACAATCATTTTGTTTTATTTTGTAACCGTCATTGTACAGCAGACTCAATTTTTGGATTTATGATTACTAATGCTCAACTACGTGCGACTACTAATATTCAACAAGCAAATCTCCGAGATTCTTTCAGCTGTATTACGTTATCATTTGAGCTGAAATTATAAAATTTGATTGTTGTAAATAGCTCTATTGTCTGGAAGTGTCTGTTAACAAGACGTTTTAAGGATTGTTTATTCGTTTTCAAGTTAAACGAACGCTTGTGCTCTTTACGGTAACATACACGGAAGAGCCATTACATTATGACCGCCCTCCATCTATAACAATGGGCTCGCCCAGGTTTTCATGGTTTCTCGCCCAGGAACAATGTTTTCATGGGGCACATTAGGACCCATAATCCTCATAGAACAGTCCCTGACGTCTGCAAGCTACTTGATCATAGTTGCAGACCAGGTTCACCCATTCATGGCAACAGTTTTTCCTGCGGGGGATGGTGTTTACCAACAGGATAATGCACCATGTCATAAGGGTCGAATCGTCATGGATTGGTTCGAGGAACATTCCAGTGACTTTCAAGT